GCACAGTGGGTAGGGCATTTGCCTTGCACGTGGCCGACCCAGGTTCGATTCCCAGCATCCCATATGGTCCCCTGAGCACCGCCCGGAGTAACTCCTGAGTGCAAAGCCAGGAGTAACCCCTGTGCATCATCAGGTGTGACCCAAAAAGCAAAAAAAAAAGAACCCTAAGGGCGAAATGATAGTACAGTGGGTAGGATGCTTGCCTCACATAAAGTTGACTTTGGTCTAATATCTAAGCCTCCAGGAGTGAGGATAGAGCCATATCCTGAGCACTGTTGAATGTGGCCCAAACACACATGCAAAAACATGAATAAAAAACCCTCCCTGAAGTGATTGCATATGCCTTAATATTCCAAGTCACGTTGTTTTACCATTCAAGGAAGGGCACTAAAAGCCTACATGATTTCCTTAGCTCCAGACTATCAGAGGAGCTTGAAAAGAAAGAAAAAGATATACTTTCTTTGAGAAGAATCCTTCAGAGTTTAGCACTAGTTCCCTCCTTCCCAACCCTTCAAGATCAAGCCTAGAGTGGGTACCTGTAGGATTATCTGTATCCCAGAGATCTATGAAATAAGACCAGTATGTGATTAATGCCTAGAGATAGGAAGCCAAAAGACTGGCTAAAGAGCCAACAGGCCCACACTAGAAAGAAGCAGCCTTAGGTTATCGTCAATGCAGCCTAGAGATACGAGATGAGAATGGCTTAAAATAAGGCATTTGAGTCCAGCAAGAGAATAGCATGCAGGTCAGAGACTTGTGATGGAAAGTCTCTCAAAAATGCCCCATGTTCTGAGAAAGACTGATGAAGGGTAGCATCAGCAAATTAGACGTTTCCTGCCAAAATTCTTCTCCCTTCCTATAGTACCAAGAGTAGTTTTGATGCTGCAGCAGGCAAAGAGCAGCAGTGATGATTCTGCCGTGGAATACGTGAAAGGCTGCCTTCTGCTGGGCTACTGGAAACAACTTGAATGAAATTCAGAGTTCCCTCACACATAATCGAGCACTTTCACTACTGAAATGAGATGGAGGTGACTGTAAATGACTTAGAGGGGTACACTATGTGAATTAGCACCTGTCCAACTATAATCCATATGTCGGGGCAAGTACGTAGGCAGAGTTAAAGGGTTTCCTGTCATACTTCTACTGAAAAATTTGTTTCAGTAGTATTTCAAAATTCCTAGTGGAAGACATAAGAGTTGAATAAGTGGGTCTTCACTGGAATGGTGCAAATCTAAAATACAGTAAAACATAAAGATATAACTAAGTTTTCTCATACTAGTAGGGTAGGACATTATTACTACATGATTTCTAAATAACTTGCATTTGAGAATTTGAAGGAATTCATGATTGTTAATAAATAAAATAGCAATTTCCCTCCCCCCATTGAGACCACTAGGAGCAAGAGTGTGGGGCGGGTGGCAGTCCCTTTGTTGGTTGGTGAGATGGTGTGAGCCTGAGGTTGGGTACAGCCCCAGATGTGCTATGAATTATCAAAGTGTGCTTGGCTCTTCTGGGGTCTCATGGGGAGGGCATGAGGTGCTAAGATTAAGCTCAGGGCCTCCCAAGAACAAGCCCTTGTGCAGCACCAAGTTGCAATCAAAAGGAATATTTCAGGACATGAAAGAACGAGTTTTTAATCTTATAGCAGAGTCATGGCTTACAGAGGTTAAAAAAGTGAAACAGGTCTTCAGCTCAAAGTTATTGTTCTTACTTTTTCAGCACTAGAAACCAATTTCTACTACCGTAAAGTCTTATAAATTGATCTAACAAGAACCTAAGAATCAATTTTTAGAGGAGATATTATTATGAAAATGAAAAATAGAAAAACACATACTGAGGAGGATCAAAAGTAATTCAATGCACAAAGGAATAAAGTGGAATACTTAATACTGGTAAGGGGGGGGGTGTTTACTTACATGTGTTTTTTATTTCCAAAACATCTGAAAGAAGTTAAAGGCCAAGTTGGTTTAGAATAGAGGGGTATGGAAATTTAAAAAAAACACAGAAAGCCTTGTTTTATGATGGCTAATATGGTCAGGCAGGGGACATGGACACAAAAAGGCAACATACAGCTTGTTAGAAAGCTTGTTATAGGCTTCTAAGGGACCCTCCTTCACTGTTGGTGGGAATGCTGACTGTTTCAGCCCTTTTGGAAAACAGTATGAATGATTCTCAAAAAATTAGAAACTGAGCTCCCATTTGACCCAGCAATACCACTCCTGGGAATATATCCCAAAGAGGCAAAAAAGTATAGTTGAAGTGACATCTGCACTTATTTGTTCATTGCAGCACTCTTTACAATAGCCAGAATCTGGAAAAGAATCTGAGTGCCTGAAAACAGATGACTGGTTAAAGAAACTTTGGTACATCTACACAGTGGAGTACTATGTAGCTGTTAGAAAAGATGAAGTCATAAAATTTACATACAAGTAGTACTACATGGAAAGTATCATGCTAAGCGAAGTGAGTCAGAAAGAGAGGGACAGACATAGAAAGACTGCATTCATCTGGGGAACATAAAGAAACAAAATAGGAGACTAACACCCAAGAATAGCCAAGATAAGTACCAGGAGGTTTACTCCATGGCTTGGAGGCCAGCCACACATGCTAGGGGAAAAGGCAGCTCAGATAGAGAAGGGAGCACCAAATAAAGGGTGTTGGGAGGATCCTCCCAGGATGGAAGAAGCATGCTGAAAGTAGACTATAGACCGAACACGATTGCCACTCAATGTCTTTTTTGCAAACCACAGCACCCAAAAGGAGAGAGAGAACAAAAGGGAATGCCCTGCCACAGAGGCAGGGAGAGATGGGGGGGGGGGGGGGAGATGGGGGGGGGGAGGGATACTGGGATCCATGGTGGTGAGAAAGGGCACTGGTGGAGGGATGGGTACTTGATTATTGTATAATTGAAACCCAAGCACAAAAATTTGTAAGTCCACAACTATACCTCAAGGTGTTTCACTAATAAAAATTTTAAAAAATAATAAAAATAAAAATAAAGAAACAGGCTTCTATTCTGGCCTCACAAACTGGGGGGAAAGGCAGCTCAGACAGAGAAGCAGCCACCAAGTAAAGGATGCTTGGAGGGCCTGCTATGGAGGGGAGATGTGTGCTGAAAGTAGAGTATAAACTGAGCATGATGGCCACTTAATATATGTATTGCAAACCATAACACCCAAAAGGAGAGAGAGAGAGTAAAATGGAATATGCCTGCCACAGAGGTGGGGGGGAGGGAAAGAGTGGGGGGAAGGGAAACTGTGAACATTGGTGGTGGAGAATGGGCACTGGTGGAGGGATGGGCATCGATTATTGTATGACTGAAACGTTAAGCATGAAAGTTTGTAAGCCTGTACCTCACGGTGATTCACTAAAAAATAAAACATTGGAAAAAAAAGAAATAGGCTTCTATTTCTAAATGAGAGCAGTGTGATACTCAGATCAGAATTGTAGCACTGTAGCACTGTCATTTACTTGAGCGGGCACCAGTAACGTCTCCATTGTTAGACTTGTTACTGTTTTTGTCATATCGAATACACCACGGGAAGGTTGCCAGGCTCTACCGTGTGGGCAGTATACTCCTGGTAGCTTGCTGGGCTCTCCGAGAGGGAAGGAGGAATCGAACCCGGGTCAGCTGAGTGCAAGGCAAACGCCCTACCCGCTGTACTATGGCTCCAGCCCAGATCAGAATTAAGCAATTAAAGATATAAATTTTCTAAAATAAAAAGTAAGACAAAGTTAGTAAATGCTTATTTATAAAAAAAACATGAATTCAGGTCACTGTCAGAAATACAGAGAGAGCAATTCTCAAAAATCAATATATGAGGATGACTTTCATGGAAAAGGTTAAAAGCTAATTTTTTCTGGTGTATATAGGGCTGACAAAAGAGGAAAAGATCAAAGAACCATTAAAAGGTGGGAAAAAGCAGTTGATTGAAAAGATTACTGAAAAATTACTGTAAAGCTACCAAACTTCTCAAAATTGGACTTCAAGAGAATAGCATTACAAAGAGTAATGAAAAGAAAATAAATGGGCTGGAGAGATAGTATGGCAGGTAGGGCGTTTGCCTTGCAGAATAATCCCATAGCATCACTAGGTGTGCTCCCCCAAACAAAAAACAAACAAAACACACACACCACACCACACACACACACACACACAGAAAAATGAAGCCATCAATTAAGACAGTTTTAAAGGTTATATCCTCTGAAGTCACAGAGCAAGTGATAATACCACAGGAAAAACATCATTGTTAGACAAAATGGATTAGAGATATAAATGTTGGTGAGACTTAAATTTCCATTCATAATTACTAAGAATTCAGAATTTAAAAAGGTAGGTATATGTGTTTGTGCGAGTGCATGTGTGTGCTGTGTGTGTGTGCATGTGTGTGCGCACGCATGCATGTGTGCGTCTGTCTGTCTGTCTGAAGAGATTAGAAAACTAAGCTTAATGTCATAACAAAAATATGCCTCCTTACAAAGGTGTCATAATCTCCATCCTCAGACATTACCTCTGGAGGCCTCCAACCGTGCTTCTCAGAATAATGTCATTCACTTTCAGTTTCTCAGATTGCAATAACGTGTGTAACAGCCTCTTTCTACAGCACATGTTAAAATATAAAACCTAAGCAGTAGGATTTCAGAATTAGGCAGTGAAGACTTTCTGGTAAAAGACATCAGTAATAACAATACAAGTTTCCCTGTTAAGCAGAGGCATATACTACTTACAAATTAAACGTCATAGAAACAATGTGGTTCTAGAAATGGAGAATATTTTATTATAACCCAATTCAGATGAGGCAAAATAAAAGTACTGTAAGATTCTAACTGGAGACTGATGAAATATCTGCTCATTACAACACAGTAGTTATTTTAAAAGCTAATAGAACAAGCCACACTAGGAAGCAAAAGGAAATAAATAAAATTAAAAAGATTAGAGGCAATAGCAAACATGCACTCATTAGATCACAATTTCTTTGTAAATACATAGAAACACATACCCATTTTTCCACATCAACTTGCTGTGGAAAGAAAAAGTCAAAATAAATAACAGCAAACAAATAAATACCTAGCAACATTTCAATTACTGTTCTTTGGGCAAATTGAAATCTGGTCCCTGCACCCAAATCTACTTGCAACTCTAAAGGTCAAAAACAGTATTAAAAGAAAAACTAATCTATTATATTCAAAAGCACATATAAATGTTTACCTGATTCTCAAACCTAAAAGACTTCCTCTAAAGAATTCTTTCTCTAAATACAAAGACTTATTCAATGAAAAATGTCAATTCAGAAATTTATCATTCATCTATTAATCTCTTATGAAACAAATAAATTACTTCTCTTATCCAGACATTTCTAGCATTGTGTAATATTTCATAGTATGACAAAAGTTATATGATGCCAAATATTTCGAAATTATATCATAAACAAATTATCTTTAAACCATATTTACCAATTATATAGATGTCATTCATAATCCTGATACAACACTTAAAAAAACAGACATGATTATATACTATGTGTGTAAAGTAAAGTAAAGTAAAGGCCCTCCCGTTGATCGTCGATTTGCTCGAGCGGGCCCAGTAACATCTCCATTGGAGACTTTGTTGTTACTGTGTCTGGCATATCCAAATACTCTCGGTAGCTTGCCGGGCTCTCCGAGAGGGGCGGAGGAATCGAACTCCGGTCGGCCATGTTGGCTGCGTGCAAGGCAGACGCCCTACCCGCTGTGCTATCATACTATGTGTGAAACAGGAAAAAATAAGAAGCCTATGTCAACAAGGACCTAACTGAAATATAGTATTTTAAACAATTCAATCAGAATAGAAATTTTCAACACTGAGAGACATAATCTCAAAGACAAGTTTCTATGGCACATAAGATTAGTGTTCTGAGAAAACTGAGGTTTGTTTTCAACTTTATATATTTATTTATAACATTTTATCTAGAAAAATCATTAATGAGGTAAGAAGCTAATGCCACTGTGGGAAATAGCTGAGAATTGTGATCTATTAACAAGAAATTTCTCAGAAACAAATGAGCATAAAATGCAATTATAAAGAGATTATTTTTCAATGTTATAAAGCAACATAAATATCACCTCAGCTATACACATGGAATTTCTTTTTTGCATCGTCTTTGAAATACATTAGGTTACTTATAACAGTATTTTATTTCTTGGTAATTTACATAGTACACTGATAATTTTTATCTAGACTATCCCCAAACTTTGCATTTCAAAAACATACATTATTATTTAAGAAAAGGATTTTACTATATAGAAAGATCTTATTTTTACCATATATTTCAAATATATTTAGCTGATTTAAAGATTTTTTCTCCTTTTAAAAATTAATCTATTTGAATTATGTCTATTTGTCTAGATTCTGAGACAAAGAAAAACTATTTAGTCATGTCCAAATCTTGTGACAATCGTTCACTGTCTACTCCAAAAGAGGCAGAAACAGATTCTTAAATTTATTTTCTTAAAAAAATATTTTAAATATGAAATGATTTCCTTTTAATGTTTATCTGGGAGAAAAGATATGCCATCATTTCAGTAATTTCAACAATTGAAAAGACATTCTATTACCTTATCCTTTTCACTTTTAAATACAAAACAGTCACAAATGCACATATACACATACAAAGCGAGTGTGGGAATGTTCTAGGAGAATGTTGTGCTAATATTAGTAATAGAATTTCTTTAAATGATCTCTATTACATAAGAGAAATCATTTCTAAAGTAGAGAGAATTAGTAATAATACTATGACAAACGAAATTTCTCAGTACCCAAAGAAAGGCTTAGCAATAGCATATGCTGGGAATGAATTGTCAGCTAAACACACAAGACAAGACAAATGGTCCACAGGATTAAAAGACTCACTACAATGCAATAAAATTGTAATTATGCATAAGCAATGTAGAACGATTTCATGACACATCTCTTATTACTATTAACAAGAATTATTTAATGAAATCCATTAAAAGAAGAATGATTTACTGCAGGTTAATTGAGGAAGGGAAATATAAAGTTCATAACAAACGTGCCCAATTTTAGAGTTTAAACAACAACCAAATCCACAACACATGTACTACATTTATTCAACATATAATGAGAAAATTATTACCCAAGGATGTAGGATTAAATGACAACATTGATTCTATTAATTCTACTAATCTGAGAAAATAAATATTTCAGTACCTGTAGGAAATTACATTAAACATTTTATCATATTAAGACTGAAAAGGGGCAATCTTGTTAGTCAAGTAAAAATAAACCTTCCGTTAAGAAACATAAACTATCATTTAGACAGTCACTATCCTGAACAGAGAATAAAAACACAAGAGTAATTAATTCTAAATTATATGAGTAGTGTGATACTCATTGTATTTTTCATATTTTACATTCATTTTTAAATAAATTTAAATTTACCAAATATTAGCATGACCTATTCCAAAACCTAAAAAAAAAAGGTTGCTGACTGCTTCCAAAATATTGAGCTTTTGTTTTACAATTTTAGGTGCAGAGGTTATTATTATTAAATATTTAAATCTCATATTAATTGGTTACTACTGCCAAGTTTTTTACTAAAAACTTTAAATGAACTTTCAATAGCTACATTTTATGTATGAAGAAACTAATGACATATATAGGCATTCTGAATCATTTTTTTCTTCAGTTTACTTCCACACGAAAAAAAGTCACATATTATTACAAAAGGTGAAGCTTGACTTTGGAATTGGGCCTCTGACTCCCAAGCCTCATCATTGCCTCATCAACCTTAGTCTCCTTTATTTCAATTGCTTTGTTGTTGTCTTTGTTCATTTGGGAACCACCTCCAACAACACTGAGGTTACTCCTGGATTTGCGTTCAGGAATTACACCTGGCTCTGTGCTCAAGGAACCATAGATGCAGGGTACAGAAGCCTGGTTAGCTGCATGCAAGGTTAACACCCCACTAGTTATATTATCTCTCCAGTCCCTCTTTTATTTCAAATTCTGAAGTCTGCATTATACAGTCAGGAGTTAGCTCCTGACCATATACTTAAGTCTTTGTATACCTAGTGACTTCTTTTTTTGGTACGGCAGATACTGCATATTAAATTTTCATATTGTACAAGTATATATCTTATATATGTGTGTATGTATTTTATATTTTCATACTAATTATTTTTTTAAATCTGGAGGATTACCTAAATCAGCTCCTAAGTGATGAGCTGATCCCTTCATTCCAAGTTTCATTAAGTAAGTTGAAAGAAAATTTTAAAGTAAACTTTTCAGCTATTTCTATTAAGCTTACACAGTTGTAGGGCAACTTATGCAAAAAAAAAGTTAAACCTTATTTCTCTGTCCTTTTTTTTCTTTTTTAAGATGATGGATATACAAAAGTTCTGACTATCTTAGCAGGTCTAAGCTGTGATATTTGTTTTACCAGACTCCTGAGATTCCTTTGCAGATTTTCAATTCAGTCTCTATCAATCTCAACTCAATGTCTACCAATTGACTATTTACGATATGACCAAAGGAAATAGCGGTACAAAGTAGTGTTTTGCAACAGTGCCCATATGACCCACTATGGACACCCAAGACATTCCAAGAAGCCACAGTGAAAATCACATAAATAAAGGGCCTTGGTAGGAGACTAGGATGATAGTTGGTAGGACACAGACAGTTTGAAAAAGAAAAACACTGATGTAAAGAATGGTGTGTATCCTCAATGTGCTTCTCTTATGTCTCTGATTTGGGCTGTGTCAAATTGTGTCTACCTGAGAAGTTCCCAAGGCCTTGGGAATTAAAATCTTTTTAAACCTTTTTACAGTTTTGCTAGGTTATTTTGTTTGTTAGTTTTCCTCCAAGTCCGATGCAAGTTAGAAACAAAAATAACAAGTTTTTCTCCCTTTTAAAAAATAACACAAACACATTAAGGGCTTGACAAATGAAACAGCGCATTCCTTACATGTATTCTATTCCCTTCACCACATATGTACTACCAGAAGTTATCCCAGCATACAGGGTAAGGAATAAACCCTGGCACTGCTGGATGTGGCCCCAAAATAAGCAAACAAAAATAATTCCAAAATTTCAACGTTCAAAATTTTAAAAACAACTACTGATCCAAACAAGGTTTCAAATTAAGTAAAAATTGCACTGGGTCTTGGTTTGCAGCCTTAGCTATTTCCTCGCTATTTTCCCATACTTTAAAAAATATACTCATTATATTTAGACTCCAAGACATCTATTTACTGAACAAGTAGTTAAGCTACTAGCAAATACTATTAACAAGTACTATTAAATCTAAGTAAAGTAAAGTAAAGTAAAGGTAAAGGCCCTCCCGTTGATCATCGATTTGCTCGAGCGGGCCCAGTAACGTCTCCATTGGAGACTTTGTTGTTACTGTGTTTGGCATATCAAATACGTCACGGGGAGCTTGCCAGGCTCTGCCGTGCGGGCGAGATACTCTCGGTAGCTTGCCGGGCTCTCCGAGAGGGGAGGAGGAATCGAACTCGGGTCGGCCATGTTGGCTGTGTGCAAGGCAAACGCCCTACTGCTGTGCTAAATTTTCAAATCCACTTTTATATATTTACTAGTGGCAGTGGCTGTCCTCCCGGTGTTCATCAATTTGCTCGAGCGGGCCCAATAATGTCTCCATTTTGAGACTTGTTACTGTGTTTGGCATATAGAATATGTCATGGGTAGCTTGCCAGGCTTTGCCGTGTGGATATATTTACTAAATATATAAACATACTTTATATATTTAGTGATATTTACTTATATTTACTGATATTTAGATGAATCTATTACATTTAAAAAAGCAGTAAGTTTAACTCTTGATACGGCAAAAGGCAAAAAATAACATTTATTGAGAAGCTAATTAGTGTGTTATGCCATTATGCTAACTGGGGCTTGGGGCCACACCCAACTGTGCTCAGAGGCTAATCCTGGTTCTATGGCGTTAGATTTGAACCAGAGTTGGCCACATATGAAGTAAGCACTATCCTTAAACCCTGTAC